CTTTGAAATGTATCTATCCAGGCATATCCCATCCGTTATCAAAGTCCTCAAGGACACAATCCAAATGGATACAATCCTGCGAACTATCAACGCCACAATCACTCTGCGGGATCTTGTTAGCTACCGGTGTCAATACAGAAACTAGCTATTAACTGAGCTCTAAATACCACACAGGGATACAAGCTTGCTTCCAAACAAGTTATTAACCAAGCTCTAAATGCCACACAGGGACACATGCATAGCTATCATACAGGCTATTAGCCAAGCTCTAAATTTCACACAGGGACAAAGAGTAGATATCAAACAATCTCTTAATCGAATCTCTTAATCGCAATCGATCTATACCAAATTCCGAGGTATGATCTCAGCCTGTATGTTTCAATGAGGACACAGTTAGCTATCAAACAATCTCTTAATCCATCTATACCAAATACGGAAGTATGACCTCAGCCAGTACGTTTCAACGAGGACACAATTACTCTACACTGTAATGAAAGCAGAGTTTCTATGTTAACTGATCTATTTGAGGTTTATGTTAAAGTTTATAGGCGTAATTAAAATTCCGCCGTCATTATCTATATCACAGGATTAAGACAATCATGTTACAAATTTACAGCACAGTATAAGTTTAATGTGCAAAGTTTAATATACGTATATAAAGGATTAACAGAGATAGATATAAACATGGTAAATCTAGTCACAATGCATGTTTTAATCAAGTTACTTAGCTCATGTTTATCTAGGTATGCTCAGGTTAACAAAAATGGAGATTGCTATGATATTTGCTACAGCTCCACTGTTTATAAATTTTTATCAGAGGTCATGTTTGGAGCGAAAAAAGTTGAAATAAAACAGAAATTTATGTTTTGGGACATATGTAAGATCAATCCGTGAAAATAAAAAAAATAAAATAAGGTAATTTGGTAATTCATGGAATTGGGAAAAAATTGTTTTATTCCAAAGATTCATATAAATATTTCTATATATAAAGTAGTAATCTCTGTTTGTTTGTAAAACTGTACCTGCTTGTATTGTCCAATCATAACTCAAGAACTCATTAAACGATTTGCCTAACATTTTTATTGGGGAACTCTGTATAACCAAGGGTATGATCTTAGCCTTTTAAAATAATTGATATATGAGAAAGCTTGATCCAAACAAGGAATAATCAGGCAATGCACAATTCCCAAGCTAGTAAATAATATAGATAATATATGCTTGGGAACTCAGATTTGCCTTGAAATAATATTTTTATTATAGGCGTCAACCTTTTCAACTGAGACTTTTTAACCCAAATTAAGAACATTCCCGTGGTAATACCAAAGAGAATAGAATATATATTAGAGAGGAATTTAGAAAATTCTTCGGTATGAATTTTGTCAGTCCCTTTCAGCCTGAATGGGAGTTTAAAGTGTACAAATCATGTAAATGTTCACAAATTATGTGCAGTAGAGTACATTAATACAGTATGTTTCCTAGACTGTCCATTTCAATTTCTAATTTTTTAAAGCTGTTAAATAAACTTAATAAAATGAATTAGGTGAATAAAAAACATCATTTGATTTATAGTTATAACGGAAAATCATCGTTTGTAAAGTGAAAGGCGTAGAGTCTATGTAAAATGATCAGTGGTCAATTATGAAACCAGCCTATTTCATAATTTGGTTTTTTTTCAATATTAATTTTGGATTTTCTTTAAAATGATATTCCAGGGCCCAAAAGGTTATATAGCACAAATATGTGAAGTACACCTGCAGTATGGAAACAGTACAACAAAATGGCCGTTTTACACTTTATTCTAACTCCCCTCTAATATTTATTTTATTCGCTTTAGGTAATACTGAGTTCCCTAATAACAATTTAAGGCAAATCAGTCCAGGGGTTCATGAGTTATGATCGGACATAAAAACAGACAAATAGAGATTTCAACTATATATAGATATATGAAAAGTAAAAATCTATGAAAAAAAATCAGAACAAATCTTTCATT